TGACATTTAATTGCACTAAACATCAACGGCTGTCAGACTTGCATTCTCAAGGAGAAAAACCCCTAATTACATTTGGAGTATAAACAGGTAATGCAGAAGTACATGGATTATGGATTTATTTGAAGTAAATGACATGCTGCAATAAAAGGTTCTATCCCATGATTTCTATCATCAATCAAGGGATTAATTCGCCTTAGCACAGTGTCTTGATGCTGGAGAGCATGAGGGTGTTGCATTTGCACAACATGTGGTTGTCTTTGATGTTGAGGAAGCTGCAACATTCCAACTGTCCACAGTTGTAGTGGCGACCTGTTTTCCATTGTTCTCAAGCTGTGGTGGTTCCACTGGTTTTTAAACTCATCCACAGATCTGTTTATTCGTGGAAGATAAATATGGTGTAGAGCCCTAATGTGAAGTGGGTCTGTGCTATCTAGAAGTCCAACATTTTCCATGAAGAGGAAAAGGCCTTTATAGTATGCTGACACTACCCTGTTCACTTCTCTCCACAGTCTTTCTATTCTCTGGTTATGTACACTCCGCCCAACCATGAAACTACCTCTGTTTCCACCACGATTCTCAATCATAAATCGTGCAATGTGCATGTTCTCACTACCAGCGTCACCCCTGACATGATGGGGGAGTCCATATTGACTGACAGCATCCAGAAAAAGTTGCAAAGCAGTTGCTGCTGTGTTGTCTGTGACACATCTGAGGTGGGTAATGCAGCGACTGTATCCATCCACTCCTCCATGCAAAACAAATCCCCATGGATTTAACTTGTGGTTTGTATCAACATGCCTAGAAAAAGAAAATACATTTTACTTTGGGTCAACTTATAAACCAGCATAGATGTAAGGTCTTAACCTTACTGTATAGGCTACTCAAAATGTTCAACTGTTTACTGTAGATTAACCAACTAGTGGATCAATGTATCTTTTTAATAAATGCAGATTTATACCAGACAACCTACCAGAGTTGGTTAGGGACACAGACATCATAGATCCTCCGCTGAATCGCCCTTCTATGTCTTAATGCTCTTCCCACTGGATCTATTATTCGTAGCCGCTCTCGAATCCGCCACCTCTGAACTCTGATTGCTCTCCCTCTCAGGCTACCAGTGATGTAGGTCTCTCCTGACCCAGGGGTTTGTCTTAGAACCTCTGTTATAAGATGATCAAGAGCAGCATTGGAAATGTTGCTGAAACTCCCATAGTCCAAAAGTCCCAGCTGTATCCTGTGGTTGTACAGTGTTCGAATATTCACAGATAGCACTCGAGATATGGCCATCCAGCTAAATCCTAATTCACGCATGTGAGTCAGCTGAGACGCTGATATGTTGTACCTTAAATGAAAAAATAAAAACAGCAACAAAATATACATTTAATTTAAACATTTTCATTCAACTTTTGTAATGAAATTATCTTATTGTCATATCCCTATACCCTGACTACTTATTAACTACTGACTGAGGAAATTGCTTCCGCAGCCATCATTTACCTTGGCCTTCCTTGGCGAGATGCTGCCTGTGCGATGATGCCATCTACTTGTCTGATGGCACCAAGAGTTATGTCATCCAACATTTCATTCATAGAGTCATGGATTCCTTCAAGAATAATGCATAATGTTCTTTCGGCATTGTTTTGTTGAACACGATTACTCATAGCCAGTAAGAATGCTCCAATAATGGAAATATGATCCTCAAGGTGACGGGATATGTACTCCAGACGGTTTGTGTCCCTTGGAGTATGATCAACAGTTGCAAAAAAATCTTCCAACCCAAGAAAGTACTGAAGTATTTCAGCTGCTGCCATAGCCAATGTAAAAACGTTGTACTGTCACAGGTGTCTGCAAACTGCCTTAAAGCATATTCGCAATATCCACTTTAGAGTTTCATTCAATATAGTTTGAGAAGAATTTCAGAATTCAGAATCGGCTTTGTTGGCCAGGAATTTGATTCTGGCACAGTGGCTCTCAATGTGCATGTACAATGCTCTTTCATTAAGCAACAAGTAAACAAGTAAACAAGATAAGACTGAGAGAACAACAAAATAATAATAATAAAAGAAAGAATGTACAAGGAATCTGCACTAGAAAAATAGTAATGATAAATGATAAATAGAGAACTATATATATATATAGTTCTCTATTTATCATTTATCATTACTATTTTTCTAGTGCAGATTCCTTGTACATTCTTTCTTTTATTATTATTATTTTGTTGTTCTCTCAGTCTTATCTTGTTTACTTGTTTACTTGTTGCTTAATGAAAGAGCATTGTACATGCACATTGAGAGCCACTGTGCCAGAATCAAATTCCTGGCCAACAAAGCCGATTCTGAATTCTGAAATTCTTCTCAAAGCAGTAGAAGCTGTCCATCATCTGTGTTGATGCTTTGGACATGTGACAAATCAACAATTTCCTGAGGTAGTGTAAGAACTGGACTGAACCTGTCTTAATCACACACCAGTAAACACATACAGTGAATTATAAACAATAGAAATTGTAGAAAGGGTGTTAACAGGAAGATACTTAGTAATTAGTGTTTGCAAATTTAAATGACATGATTACAGTTTAAAAAGCTGCCTAACAGGGGGTGCAAATATTACTCCAGTTGTCAACCTGGCTGCACCATTCTCTCTTCCTTTTCCTCACTCTAGTTTTGCTTCTTTACCCTAATTACACTATCTGACACACCTGTCCTACATCCCCAGATCATCACCAGCTGCACCTGATTAGTTTCCTCCCTACTTATACCCTGCTCACCGTTCACTCCCTTGCCAAATCAATCCCTATTTTTTTTCAGGCCCCCTTGCTCGCTGTTTTCTCTAGTTTTATGAAGTCTTGTCTTATAACTTTTACCCTGTGCTCCTTCCCTTGTCTTCAGACCTCTCCTCTGGACCCTGGAACCACTCAGCCCAACCAGTCTCCTCCATACAGGTCGATGCACAGTCTCCGTTAACTATCTATGCATGCTCCTGTCTCCTCAGCCATCATTGCTTCAACCACGACCAGTTCAGGAGTGACCCCAGCGTCCGCAGCCCGGTCTGTTATCATCCATCACACCATTGACCGTTTTTCTCTGCCACAGATCGACACGTGGTTACTCAACGCCATTCAGCTCCTATCTGTTTATTGCACTTTTGCCTAAACACTGTAAATAAACCCATCACTGCTTGCACCGAAGTCAGCTACCTGGTTCCGTCTTTATTGCTCGTTCACTACCGTGGTCGAGCTATCATAACACCAGTGGTCTGGTCAGAAATATAGGTATAGCAAATAAGAGAAGCCAAGAACACAGAGCAGATATGAAGTGTCTCAGTAATGCCTAAAAGTGGCCAAGATAAAGTCTTGGGTCCTGTTAACACCATTTACCTTAAAGCCATTTCTCAGCAGATTTAGGTCATTTTCAATTGTTCACATTGCTGAAAAAACTTAGAAAAATCAAATGGAGTAGGTTTTTAGGTTGAAGACATTTCACCTCTCATCCAAGAGGCTTCATCAGTTCATCAGCCTCTAATGACAGCTTGAATGTTGACAGTAAATATTGAGTAAATGTGGTTAGATTCCGTGTTTAGGCAAATCAAAGCACACAATTAAGGGAGGAAACATGGGGGTCATTGGAGTCGCAGATGGACAAGATTATTCACCAGAAACACTTGGTTATGTTGAGAGAATGTTTTGGGTCTTTATTACATGTTGAAAAGGTCAACAGTGACCTGAAGTGTGAGCGATGAAGAAGTGTCTCTGGTATCACTCTTGTACTTAGTACAACTAAGCACCCAACAGCCTCTGGACAACCTTTCTCTGCAGAGTGAGAGCATCATAAAAATATGACAGAAATAATAAATATCAAAGTAATAAGGAAGTACAAAAGAAAATGTCCTCCAGATGACAAAGTAACTTGCATATGAATTTGTAGAAAACAGTGCTGGGCATCCAAATGATGTTGAGTCTTTACCTATATGACACAATCTGTGTAAAAACTGTTTAGTATCCTTACAGTTATTGTGGAAATGAATACTGACCACAGCTGAGCAGCTGTCCACATTTCTACTGGCATTGCACTGTGTTTATCTGATATTGCTCTACACACTGGCGACATGATAATTTGTGGAAATGTCCCATTTCCTGCCCTCGAACATCACCATGCTTGTTCTGTGACTGTTTTGATGAGAAATTCTCACTGGCCAAGATGTGAATGCATAGTAATGGCTGGGTGGGGTGGGTTCCTAGCAACAGCAGTGTGTTTTCATGGCATACACAGCAGACAAGAAGGCCAGATCAGTTATGCCAAGGAATGTACTCCATCAACACTTATCTGTTCTTCTGAGAAACATGTTAAACGTGACTGACTCTTATGGCCTGGAACAACCAAATGTTTCTTGTCATTCCAGGGAACAGTGAGACAAACAGTTAAACTATCATTTAGACAGTTAGAAAAAAACCTGTGAAGATATTACACTGCTGATGTGTAGTGTTACATACAGTTGGTCAGTCCTAGGTTGTTTAGACAAACAAAAGTGGCAATATATGATAACTAAGCTCAGTGTTTCAAGCTATACACACACACAGCATATAAGCCTAAATTGTGTGTTTGTTTTAACCAGTATGGTTTACAGTAGAGCCTTTGGAAGGATTAAAACATGTTCACTTTAGATGGGTCAGTCAAATTGTGGTTTGATTAATAACTAAATAAAAATTGAAACTACTATCAGATTTGGATGAAGACAACTGCTTAATTTTTTTGCTGGGGAGAAACCATAATTAAATCCACTACACCCACAAAGAGTTAAACTTTTTAAAAAATCTTATAATGTTCACACAAATGCAATGAACCCCCCTACACTAAATGTAGGTACACACACACACACACACACACACACACACACACACACAGAGTTTGTCTGTAGTTATGCAGAGTAGAGCAGCATCATTTCATAAGCAGTGTTCACTATGTCAGAATCATCCCAGCACCTTCCGGACGTCAGTGAGAGTATGAAGGGGTTGCTGGACCCTCAGATGTATGAAGAAACACGCAGGTAGGATATCTGCAATGGCAGATGAGCATTGGAACCAACAACAATAAGCATGACCCACGTACGGAATGAGGCAAGTGATTTGTTACAGAAGTTAATAGTTTTCGAGGGACTGGAGCTGGAACTGAACACAATTGGAAATACTGAAATTCATTATCATGAACCGGATGAAGATTTTGACCCT